TTAACGTTGTAAGTTTGGAGACTTACCGCTGTCCCACCAGGCAAAATACGGTATGAAGGTTCGAAAATTAGCTGTGGAAGAAGGACGTATAGAAGAATGAAGATGCTAAAAAAACCTTTCATTTCACAAGATTCAAATTCAGCTGCCCACCAGTGGCTCAGTAGTAAGTCTGAGGGCTCACACTACTAAAATACGGATTTTGACACTCGTGGTGAACCCAGCATAGATAGCCCATAGGGTAGCTTTCCGCTTAGCAACAAACAAACAAATCAAATCCAGCTAGCTTATTGAAATATTCTAACTTATAACTTACACCATTTTCCATGGCCAAAAGTGGTTATTATTACTATATGTATCTGTATGATTATTGCAAAATCTAAGGATTAAGGGAGTATATTCTTAGAATTACGACAATCAAACAACTTCCCTTACCATAAAAAGTTAAACATTATAAACTTTTCTTCTTAAGCTTGTAGCTTACAGACTTTGAGAGTACACTAAAATCAACACATGTTAGTGGTTGTTAACTTTGCAAACTAAAGTAAAAGGTTTATTGAACTGTGCATTATAATTTCTCAGTTTCGTAAGGGAAGTTAGGTGGATTGTTTGTTTGTTTGTTTTTGAATTTCGCGCAAAGCTACACGAGGGCTACCTGCGCTAGCCGTCCCTAATTTAGCAGAGTAAGACTAAAAGGCAGACAGCTAGTCATCACCACCCACCGCCAACTCTTAGGCTACTCTTTTACCAATGAATAGTGGGATGGACCGTTACATAATAACGCCCCCACGGCTGAAAGGGCGAGCAAATTTGGTGTGACGGGGATTGCGAGTCTAACCACCTGGCCATGCCGGACCAAGATAGGTGGAATTTATCTTTTCGAAATTTATTTGGATGGAAATATATGTTCTATACAATTTCTTGCATTGGAATGTATTTATGTTATAGGTAGTTATAGTCTCATCACAAAGAAAACCAATTTCTTCATTTACCTAGGTTGGATTAATTTTTATTGTGGGAAATAGGTCTTAGATAGACAGTGCAGCTTTATATTTCTTGCCCAAAGGTGAATTTGTTATGTCTCTAAAGGTTTCAATATTTTATGAGTCTTGAATATTATAATACGTTAGTACATTTGTATATATGTTTGTGTGTTGAATAGCAAGCCGCAAATAATCTAATAAACTTAAAGAATACAACAAACATCAAATCAAATAATCCCAAAAGAGAATATAATGAAATTTTCAACAAGAGAAACTCAGAAAATACTATTTAATATTTAATTTCTTTGATCAAATTCGTATACGGCTTCTATTATCTTATAAGCTATTCAGAATAGTCCTTCACTGTATTATTTAAGCGATATGCACCGTATTTCCTTACAGATATCAACAGACAAACTATATACTTCTACGATTACTCACGACAAGTCTAGAGGAGATTGGGACTGGTTAACTCACTTTGTTTTTAATTTTTAAATAGAAATCACCTGTATAATTCAAGATAAGAAATTTCAATACTGACATAATCTAGACACCTTCCACTATTACATAGCAAAAACAAATTATTTATCTCTTTGCTAATCCTCTCAAATACAAGCTGTGTCAGCCTACCCGAGTACGAGGTAAGTTGACATACACTCTGGGACAAATTGACACTGATTAAATTAAATCAAAAACACTTTACTTACATCAATATACTTATATATCACATTTAAGTAAGTGAAATAAAAAAAATAAAACAAATATCGCAAGAAAATAATGGTAAGGGAAATGCGGAATTTACAATAATTTTAATTAATTTCCGTTAATTTTGTCAACATTTAAACATTAATTAAAATGAATCCAAATTATTCAAATATTTTTGTATTATACCTATCTTTGTTTTAAGAGTACAAGAAATACATTCCAATTTCTAATATTGGGCTGATTGACACGTGTGTCAATCTGCTCCAAATAAAATTTGTAAACGTACCTCAAACCGCCATTTTGTGTGTACCGACACAGTCATAGTTATCAAATAAAATCGTGTACCATTATATACCCGAAAGAACTTACTTTCAAGTAATATGAAACTTAAATTATCTTAACAAAGTATTTATTATAACATAAAAGAATCTTTGCAGTAAAAAATATTTACTTACGTATGTGAAGATATCAATTTTTTATTCTTCTTCACGATATAGATTTCCGATCACGAAGAAACTATAACACCAAATGACGCGTGTTTCGATGTTTTAGTGATCATGATATCACGGCTACAAAATTTAGCATATGAAAGTTATCGGCTTTTTGTCAACTTACCCCTATGCCCAACAAGCCTCGGTTTCCTCTACTAGTACAATATCTTTAATTATATAGGCCTGCGATGGTTTTGTTGTCTTGCAAATTTGACATGTTCTACAGTAAGTTCTGTACGCTGAATCCGAAAATGATATCCATTTTTCTCCATCACGTACATATTTTTCACACAACGTCGTAACTCAATACATAAAAGAAATACCACAACAAGTATTTTTGAGACTAAAAGACGTATATTTCACACACACACACACAAAATCATGATGAACGAGGATGCATATTTATTTGACATCAATGTTCTTCCCTTTTCTTCAGTTTGTATTTTTTTTAACAAACATAATAATAAATCGTGTTCACTGTGGTAAACGAAATAATTATTTGATCTAAGTAAGAGTTTTTTTTTCTTCCCGATTTGTAAAAAATCTTTACGTAATAGAAAAAAAAAGAATATTATTTTCGAGATCTTCGTAGCTGAATTATGGAAAATCCGTTATTAAACCAAAACAACTTTTATGAAGTTTAAATTTGCAGGCATGTGTTTTTATTTCATGTAATGATATTTGGTATTTTCAACCTTAGTAACACTTAATGCGACACATAGCCATGTTAATTGTTTGTTTGTTTTGAATTTCGCGCAAAGCTACACGAGGGCTATCTGCGCTAGCCGTCCCCAATTTAGCAGTGTAAGACTAGAGGGGAGGCAGCTAGTCATCACCACCCACCGCCAACTCTTGGGCTACTCTTTTACTAACGAATAGTGGGATTAACCGTCATATTATAATGCCCCCACGGCTGAAAGGGCGAGCATGCTTTGGTGGGACGGGGATTCGAACCCGTGACCCGCAGATTGCGAGTCGAGTGCCCTAACCACCTGGCCATGCCGGGCCAGCCATGTTAAATATCCAAACGTTTAGGCGTAACATCATTCAGTTTAGAACTGCTGACCAGTGGGAGGTAATCAGTCGGCAGTAGCCGCCGCCTAAACGACTACTCTTACTTAATAGCGAGACTGACTATCACTTTTAGCGTGTTCAGTGGGACATCGGAGGCTTAAACTTTGGCCTCAAGACGCTAGGCCACACCCATCACAAATACATATAAGTAACAAAATTAACATAACTAACACTTATATTGATTTTTCTAAAACAAATTCATTTCTAACCTTTAATTTTGAAATGTACTGAGTAATACACGATAAAGTTAAAAAAGTTAAAACACGTCATTTGTTTAATGATTTAAGGAAAGTCTATTTTTCATGTTCCAGTATTTCGAAATTGTTCTTTCAAATACTAAACAATTTGAAAGTTTGTACATTAGACGCCGCACATTTTATGAGTGATGGTAAATTCGATAAGCAATTATCCATGTAACTCTAATTAAGTTTAAATCCAATATTTGGTAATTATAGAAAGCTATGGAAAAAATCGATGTTTTGTCAAGGATTTTTTTAATGCTGTTGTGCTTTGAAGCATAATACAAGACATGCCCGACAGTTATTTCACAAGTGTATTGGCTGGAAACATTCATTAATCGTGTATGTTTTTAATAAAAAACGAAAGCTCGAGCTACATTTATTCTTGAACATAAAAGATGTTTCTTTTAGTAACTTGTGGCAGTTATTAAAAGTTGTTAAAAAATCAGTTAAGGAAAAAACTTTAAATTTGATTTGTGTCTTTTATGTAACTTAAATAAAGCGGCACATTAATCGCTCTGCTGACTACTTTAGTAAAAGTCCATATTCTCGTACAGGGATAATCAGCAAGTTTTACGGTTGGGCAGGCTTGGTAAGCAATGATCGACTTGAGATGCTTCGAACTGTATGAGTGCTAAGTACAGTTCTGTCAAGCACACAATGCAAGATAAAAAGTACCCCATTCTATAGGCATAAGCTATTCCTGAAACTTGACGGCAATCTTAAATCTTGATATCTTTCAGAAATATTGTGCAGGGCTGTTTTCATGATAATAAAAGGGCAGCTATGTTGGAAAAATAATGCATTTGAAAATATTTTGATCCCAAGTCTAATGCAGATGACAATATACATCTGTGCTTCTATCAAGTACGTTTAAATGCTGTTGCATCACAAATAAAGATTGATTTCTATGGTAACGTTTTGTTGTTAGACTATGATAACTAAATAATTTGTTTGCATTATTTTTTCAGTTAGTTTTTAAAAGCAGTTATTGATTCAAACATTGTATAGATGACGAAAATATGGTTTTAAGTTTCAGTGAAACTTGTTTACTTCATAAGTTTTGAACACTGAAACCTGTGTGACTGAAGCGAATTTAGTAGGTGGATCGTTACATTTATTAATGAGGTCGAACACTTCAGTCCAACTGTATTGCAGTAACATCTGTATGTATCCACTCACGCTCATTGATACCATAATAATATGTATCTTTTATTCGTAAGTAACATATACGTTGTTCTCAACCATGTGCTATATATATATCATGTGTTTAAATTAAATCTTTTAAAATGTGCACATAATTTAATAGTTCTACTCCCAATCACCATTACTTTTGAATTACTCACGTTTATGTAGCTTTGTTGAGTTGCAATATTTTGGTGTTACGACTATTCATGCTTTTCTTAGAACAGGGCATGAAACAAGTGTTATTTCGAAAGTATGAAACAGTAGATTTTTGAGTTTCATTAGCATAAATGCTAGTTTCTAATAGATCAGATAAGTATACTCACCTCTGACGTTTAACATCATGACCTTGCGCTGTAATTGGCCATTCTGTGTTGAACCAGAACATTCATAGTGACCCTCATCCTGCTCACTGTTTATATTAGAAATTACCAAACTTCCATTAGGAAAGATTCTTTGACGTTGATTGTCAGGGATCCGGCGGCTACCTGGAATTCCATTGAACCACTGCTGTAGTAGGTTTTTAACTATCTCGTCTTTAAACTTTGCAATTGATTTGAAATCATCGTATAACGTTATATCCTGCATAAAACCTTAAAACGCGTAAAAATAACAACAAAGGACATATCAAAATGTTTTAGAATAAATTTGTTCATGTATTGAACAAAATAACGTGTTTTAAGACTGGCTGGTATCCTTACCTGAATACTAAAAAATAGATTTATCTATATTTATTTTAACATGAATATATATTTTAGAATTAATACATTTTACAAAGCTTCTCGCTGTTTGAAGTAAGACTGATGGATAGAAATATGTACTTCCAACTACTAACCCTTCTCCCAGGAAATTTCATCTCTTACAACGCCCCCTAGTGGGCAATCCAATACGACAGTCTCACCAGCTATGATGGTAAAATTTGTCGAAGTACTGATATAAGGATAATTGAAAACTGCTAAATTTGGAGACCGTTTCAGCTTTTCAGAAGACCCTAAATGGAACAAAATAAATTGAAGTAAATTGTAGGTTTAGTCGAACAGCGTTAAAAACATTAAACATTCATTCGAAGAAATATTCTAGGTTAAGGATTTAAGTAAGATGAAGTTTCTATCTTAATTCGTTGTGAAAGATAAGTTTGTTTGTTTTGAATTTCGCGCAAAACTGCTCGAGGGATATATATACGCTAGCCGTCCTTAATTTAGCCGTAATAGACTAGATGGAAGGTTGCTGGTCAACCACCCACCGCCAATTCTTGGGCTACTTTTTTACCCATGAATAGTTAGATTGACAGTTACTTTATAACGCTCCCACGGCTGAAATGGTGAGCATGTTCAATGGACGGGATTCGAACCCACGATGCGCAGAGGGCGAGTCGAGCACTCTAATCACCAGGCCATTCCTAATTATCTTATCTATCTTAAGCCACTAATGATAAAGAAACAAGAGGGAATCATCAATAACCACGGCACTTGAAATTCTTTCAGCAGGATTAGAGTAAATTAATCTATGAGACCATTATTTTCCTTTTTATTAGCTATATTTTTGTGCGCCAGAAACACCAAGCGTGGAGCGTGGGTATATCCTATTCGATTTTATTACTCCTCAGGATCTTTACCAGTCTAACCTCAAACTGAACTTCTTTTAGAGTAAATTGATATACGAGATCTTGGGCGTGGTAAAATACATCAATTGGAAGGGTTTGACCTCCTGAGTCCAAAACTGTAATTAGATCTCAAATCGGAGTTATGAGCTAAAAGCTTATACTTGAGAAAAAGAAAAAAATACTCCGAGCCATCCTATGAGCCGCTATACATAAGTGCAATCGCTTTAAATTTCCTTTTGAATTAAAGCCTTGTGTAATCAAAAATCACAATATTGCCTATATATGTTAATAACTTGAACATAAAATCTGACAAAAAATATTAATATCAACATATTAATTAATATCGTTTCTTGGATTTTATTATCAGTAAATGTTTTTAAGATAGCAAGTACTTTCGGTTTTCCTGTTGCAATTTGAATGATTGTAGATGTATTTATACTGATGAATTACCAAAGCAATTAATTGCTACTACGTAAGAAAGAGGAAACCAGAACTTTTTATTTATTATTTTACAATAATATTACCACTTTTGTGTATTGCTAAATTCAGAGAGCTTGCTTTACAACTACACATTCTTCGAAAAACTGAAATTTTATTCGAAACAATATTTGAGCAAAGTTGCAGTTTTATGTACCGAAATTCTTTATTTTAGTGTAATTTCAAATCATAGAGAATTTAACAATTACGTATAAACTTATACTGCAAAATTAAACAAACATGAATACCTAATGTTTGGCGAAAGTGCTGAATCCATGGCACAAGATATTAATTTTAGAACTATAAAACTCAGGAGTTGTCCTTTATTCTGAAAATCTCAAGTGTAATGTTGGAACCTGATTTGGTGACGTTAACCTTTTCTTTTCTTTAGCGATTAGTTGGAAATTTTAATAAACGTTTTCTTTCTTGCATTTCGCGCGAACCTATTAGAGGGTTATCTGCGCTAGTAATAGACTAGAGGGAAGACAGCAAATCAATAACACCCATCGCCAAATATTGAGCTACTTCTTTTCAACGAATAGAAGGACAGATCGAAACATTATAACGATCCTTCGGCTGAAAGGGCGAGTATGTTCGGTGATGGGTTTTGATTCCTCGACGCGTAGATTAAAAGTCGAGCATCCTAACCTCCAGGCCACGCCAGTCCCTTAAAAACAGAGCTATATGCTTTACTCATGTTCCAATCATCCCCACCATGGGCTAAAACAAACGTATAATACACGAGAATTAACAACACCATTAGTACATATTCAATATTTTAAATTAGAACTTCATGATAAGTCTTACAAGAAATATCTCATGCTCATATGCTCTGAGATAGAGAATTTTACGTACAAAGAAAATACATATTATTGACCATTATAAATACTGTATTTTTTTACATGTGATGGGTATTCTGATTTTATATTTACAGTAACTTACGTCTGTTAGCTTATACTTCACTACTATGCTAAGCAAACATGAGGCATTGATATATTAAACAACATGTACAGATTAAGCTCGTGTACTAAATATTAAGAAATCAAATCATCATATTTTGCAAACATTTATTATTCATTAGTGATTATTATTTACACATATACACCCGTTAAGAATAATAAAATTTAACATATGTACGTATTTATGTACGTGTGATCATTTTTAACGAAACCAACAAGGAGAAACATATAAAATGCAATTTATCTTCTTTCAGATATGAGAAAAATATTTCAATTTGAAAAAAAATTAAACTCAGAAGAAAAATCCTATTTTTTCCTGAAAAAAAAGTTAATTAAAAAGATATAGATATTGTCATCTCTCTTTTTTACTTAATTAAAACATTGAAGAAAAAGAAGTAATTCGATTAATTTTCTTTTGAGGAGTCACTGATTACTATTTGATTCGAATAAATTATGGTCATGAAATACTTGAACCCCACATGTATGAAGAATGATAAAAAAATAAGCGTAAAATGCGGTTTTAATTAATTTGTGTTGCTACTGTAGTAACAAAGTATATATATATATATATATATATATATTGAATTAACTTGATATCACTTGATTAATGACATGCAACTGCAGAGATGATTGATTTACTTTTAAGATTAAAAAAAAAGAAGAAGAATTATCTATTTTCCTATCTCACACTAACTCATTCGAAATTCATTATTGGAACAGCACCAACTCCTGTTGGAAATAAGTGACACCACTTAATAGCTTTCTTCAATTGTTTCTGAGGCGGACATTACGAGAAATCTTTTTGTCACTTAAATTTTCCTGAACCAACATTTTTAAACGTATTCCTTGTTAAAACATTTTTATCAGCTACAGTAATGTTCAGTGTAACATTTATCAAACACGACTACGTACGGTTATTACGTTAACAATAATAAGAGAGGATAAGCGAAAATAGCTGGTCACATATTCTTAAGAAAAATTATTTACTTTGCTGACAATGAAATAAAAGAGTAGAAAGTCAGTAATTAAAAATGTCAGAAGAAATTCTGGTATAGCGAACTACGGTTATGTGATTATAAACACATTCATATTTTTAAAGGGAAAAGTGTGTATCTAATATATATCTCAAATAAATACTGAACAAAAGTACGCTGTACACGATCTACATAGTTATAAGACTGGAGAACATTCGAAGCATGCCTTTTGTATTCATTAAGTAAACTGTATAAAGAAAGCAGCAAAATGACTTATGAAAATTTGCAAAATAGATATTCATTAATATTATATAGTGAAACATTATTAATAGCATATAAAACTTTATGTAGAATAAAACTAATTTCCTGATATTTCGATCATGCATTGATGTTTATGAAAACAGGATAACTGTTGATAGTATTTTATAGGTTTCTGTTACATGCCAGAATTTCTTTTCCTGAATTAAGCTAGATTTTTCTTTGTCAATGTTATTTTTCATTTGCTTTCACGGGTGTTCGTTTTTGGTAACCTTGTTGAAAATAAAAGCTGTTTTATTCTTTATAACACATTTCTATTGTTTCTGAGCACGTTCCGTACAACATCGTTCCATTATATGTCTTTAATATACTGGTGTGAAACTAGTAGTGAAATCACTACAGAAACCAAGCCAAACAAGATTTCTATTATTTCTGTTGACGTTCCATTATGTGCCTTTAATATAGCGGTATGAAACCAGTATACAGCAACTAAACCAAACAATATTTATATTATTTCTGTTGACGTTCCATTATGTGCCTTTAATATAGCGGTATGAAACCAGTATACAGCAACTAAACCAAACAAATTTATATTATTTCTGTTGACGTTCCATTATGCGCCTTTAATATAGCTGTGTAAAACCAGTACAGCAACCAAATCAAACAAAATTTTTATTATTTCTGTTGATGTCCCATAGAATATCTTTCCATTATATGCCTTTAGTATTGCGGTGAGAAATTAATGGCGAAACCAGTACAATAACCAAATAAAACAAGATTTTTTAAAATATGACTTTTGATAACAAAACAGAGTAATCATATATTTTAACTATATCTCATCCAATGCTGTTGCTATTATAGTTATGTCAAAGTAGTTGTACATTTAGTTGATATATCCAATTTCTCTGTCCATTATACGTAGTAAGGTATATCTTTCTCTGTGGTTACATAATCCATATTCTTGGATTGTTATTTCGTACATACCAAATCAGCATAGTTATTTGAAATAAATAATAATTTAACATTTTAGGCTTACTTATTTCAGTAAAGACGTACATCTTTGTTGGGTCTATTCACTTAATTGTATGCTATTCATTCTTACACGCAGTAAAGCTACGATAGGGACTGCATCAGCCTTAAATATAAATTTTGTGCTGAGGTAATTACAATATACTTATCATTTTCTTTGAAATATCATTTTTGTTTATCTTATGCCGCCTTCCATTATGAATATATGTTATAAATTTAAGAAGATATATAAACTTCAATTCTATTTCTTTGTATAGTGTAGACATGAATATAGAATACAATAATATTACTGACTGAAATACATATAGTTTTCATGCATAGTTTCAAATATGTTAGCGGAATGAGAAAGAAACAAGCGAAGATTTAATTTAAAGAATAAATGCTATTAACAACAAATATTTACATTTAATAAAAAATCTTTATCAAAATAGATAAGTTTTATCTTGGGACCTCGAAAGCCTTTCAGATAATCCGCTCATTTTCTCGTCGGTTTTTCATGAAGTTTGCTTTTTCTACTTTTTATATAGTATTAGGAATAAGGATACACTAATTTTATTAGTCTTAAACCATAGCGATTTTATTAAAGTTCTCAAAATAATATACGTAAAAATACAAAAATTAGTTTTAAACCATTCTCTTTTCTCTCTAAGGTGGTTATAACAGTTATTTAAAATTGTAAAGGTTACGAAAT